TATCCAACAGAAAAAAGACAGTCTCTTCAGCAAATGGTGTTGGGAAAACTGGACAGCAACAGGCCGAAGAATGAAACTGGACCACTTTCTCACACCATACACAGAAATAAATTCAAAATAGATGAAAGACCTAAATGTGAGACAGGAAACCATCAAAATCCTAGAGAAGAACACAGGCAGCAACCTCTTTGACCTTGGCCACATCAACTTCTTACCAGACACATCGCTGGAGACAGGGGAAAAGCAAAAAATGAACTACTATGACTTCATCAAAGATAAAAAGCTTTTGCACAGTGAAAGAAACAATCAACAAAACTAAAGGCAGCCTATGGAATGGGAGAAGATATTTGCAAATGACATTTTGGATAACACGTTGGCATACAAAATCTATTAAGAACTTATCAATCTCAAACCCCCACACCCAAATAATCCAGTTCAGAAATGGGTAGAAGACATGAATAGACATTTTTCCAAAGAAGACATCCAGATAGTTAACAGGCACATGAAAAGATGCTTAACATAGCTCATCATCAGGGAAATACAAATCAAAACCACGATGAGATATCACCTCACGCCTGTCAGAATGGCTAAAATTAACAACACAGGAAATGACGGATACTGGTGAGGATGCAGAGGAAGAGAAAACTTTGGCATTGCTGGTGGGAAAGCAAACTAGTACAGCCACTCTGTAAAATTAGTACAGGGGTTCATCAAAAAGTTAAGAATAGAATTACCCTATGATCCAGTAATTGCACAACTAGGTATTTATTCAGAGGATACAAAAACACAGATTCGAAGGGGTACATGCACACTGATGTGTTTATAGCAGTATTATCAACAACAGCTAAACGTGGAAAGAGCCCAAGCATCCATCAACTGATGAATGGATAAAGATGTGGTATAAATTTATAAAATGGAATATTACTCAGCCATCAAAAAGAATGAAATCTTGCCATCTGCAATGATATGGAGGGAGCTAGAGTATATTATGCTAAGCAAAATAAGTCAGTCAGGGAAAGACAAATACTTTATGATTTCACTCATATGTGGAATTTAGGAAACAAAACAGGTGAACATATGGGAAGTGGAAAAAAAAAGAGGGGGGGCAAACCATAAGAGACTCTTAACGCTAGAGAATAAACAGGGTTGATGAAGGGAAATTGGTGAGGGATGGGCTAAACAGGTGACAGGCATTAAGGAGGGCCCTTGTCATGATGAATCACTAAATTCTACTCCTGAAACCAATATTACACTATATGTTAACTAACTAGAATTTAAATAAAAATTTGGAAAGGGGTGCCTGGGTGGCTCAATCGGTTGAGTGTGTGACTTTTATTTCAGCGCAGGTCATGATCCCAGGGTAGTGGGATGAAGCCCTGCACTGGGCTTCGCACTGAGCATGAAGCCTGCTTGGGATTCTCTTTTTTCTCCCTCTGTCCCTCTCCCCCCTTCTCTACCCTTGCTCTCTCTCTCTCTCTCTCTCTCTCTTTAAAATAAAAAAATAAAAACTTCTTAAGAATAAGGAAAAAAAGAATCTAGATACATTGGCAATAACATCAGAAGGGACCTTCTGTCCATCTCTCTAGCAACTTTCACTTCATTATTCTGCAACTGTTTACTTACCTGGCAAACTCCTATTTACCTTTCAAAACCCAAGTTAGACGAGCACCTGGGTAGCACAGTCGATTCAGCATCCGACTCTTGATCCTGGCTCAGGTCATGATCTCTCAGTTTGCGAATTTGAGCCCCACGTAAGGCTCTGAGATGCCAGTGCAGAGCCTGCTTGAGATTGTCCCTCCTCCTCTCTGCCCCTCCCCTGATTGTGCTGTCTCTCTCTCATTCTCTCAAAATAAATAAACTTAAAAAAACTTTTTTGTAATAAAATAAAAAATTAAGAAGCCCAAGTCAGATGTTAACTCTTCTGGGAAATTCTTCCTAACCTCCTTACCATCCTCTATGTTCCTTTTTCTGTTCTACTTACTTAGTTTCACTGCAATTCAAATACTGGTCTTATCTATCTCCCCTACTACACTGTGATCACATTTATTACCACCAGCACCAGCACCAAGTACATGGCAGGGCACATAGGAAGCATGTAAGGGTCTGCTGAAGTGACCTGAAATAGGACTACCACTGGACAAGCCCTACCATTTAAGTGTCCAACTCTAGAGTCCTAAAATAAGTGGTATTTCCCAGATAAGGCACAGTCTGTACTTAAGAGGGAGTGAAAAAAACTATAAATATTCTCTAGGACAATGTTATTTTTAGTATTGTGGTCAACAGCTTCTAAGAGTGAACTTCAAGGTGGCAACCTGAAGATGAAATGACTTAAATGAAGACCATAGGATGTGCCAGGTAGGCTATTCTCCTGAAAAAAGGTATGGCACAGAAGACATGGTCCCAGCAGCGGTGGGTTCACTCACTTCAGGGCAGGGTCTCCAATGCCCTGCACATTTCTATTACATGTAAGAACAAGTAACCATGTGCTCCTGAACTAGTTTCTTTACCTCCCTGTGCCTCAGTTTCCTCACCAGTAAAATGAGGGGGTAACAGGTTACCTATTACCTCACACTGTTGGAGAGGATTAAATGAGAGAATAAATCTAAAATGCTTAGTACCTAGCATATAGTAAGCACTCAATTGAAGTTTGCTCTAATTATTCTGTTGCCATGGGATGGGAGGCCTGAGCTTTATTCCTGCCCTGCCTGGTGCTGGGACCAAAATTAAAGAGGGGCAAAATCTCCTTTCTTGGCCTTTCTACCACTGGCGTCCATGTTTGCACAGCTGATACTCTCTAGCTATATGCAGGGCTTCCCTCTGACCATGAATACACTGAGACAAAGCAAGCTACACCTCATTCTTTACACCTCTCCTCTTCCGTTCTAATAAAACCTAAGTAGTTTCCTATTTCATTTCCTCGGTGCTCTACACTCTTTTAAGAGATTAATGACAGCAAATTAATCAAATACACAGAACCTTTTAGTCACTCTCTCAAATATTCCTATAAATAAACCCATTAAATACTGAGGATCTCAAGAATTTCAGGCTTGGGGCACCTAAGTGGCCCAGTCGGTTGAGCGTCCAACTTTGGCTCAGTCATGACTTCGCGGTTCTTGAGTTCAAGTGCTGCGACAGACTCTGTGCTGACGGCTCAGAGCCTGGAGCCTGCTTCAGATTCTGTGTCTCCCTCTCCCTGTCCCTCTCTCCTGCCCACATACTCTCTCTCTCAAAAATAAACACTAAAAATAATAATAATAATAATAAATAAAATCTTTAAAAAAAAAAAGAATTTCAGGTTCTACTATCTAATGTTAGATCAATCTTCCACCAGCCTCCATCCCCCCACCCCAACCTCTCTTCCTTCCTTTCTTTCTTTCAAGGGGAGCAAGGGGATGCTGGCACCACAAATCAAAGAATGAAGTTGCTCATTTCACCTTCCTGGGAGGCAAGCTGTTTGGCTGCCACCAGAGCAGTTTCACTTGTGGGCTTAAAAACCTCACTGCAGCCCTCCCCTGCCATGAGCTCCCCAGGCTTCATTCCCTACCAAGGAGTAAAACTGCTGGTGTGATCAAGTTCAAGGGCATTTACTGAAACAAAATCCAATGACTACAGTGAGTACAGAGGCTCAGGCTCTGCCCACCTCTTTCTTCTTGCCTCTCTGGAGGGTGTTTGGTGGTCTCTAGACCCGCTATGCCTAGGCACTGCTCTTCCTGCTGGCTGTCATGCTTCTGTAAGTCAGTGTGTCATGGGGGGCCTGGGTGACTCAGTCAGTTAAGCAACTGACTTTGGCTCGGGTCACCATCCTGCAGTCCATGAGTTCGAGTCTTGCATTGGGCTCTGGGCTGACAGCTCAGAGCCTGGAGCCTGCTTGGGATTCTGTGTCTCTGCCTCTCTCTGCCCCTCCCTCCCTCCCTCTCTCTCTCTCTCTCTCACTCTCTCAAAAATAAAATAAACATGCTTAGTGGGTAACAACCAGCATTTCTTTTTCTTTCTTTCTTTCTTTCTTTCTTTCTTTCTT